TACTAACTAAAAATATGAAGACTAAGCTAGCTATTTTTTATACTGTAAGATTCACAACCTCTTCAATTCCACCAATACTACCAATAAGGAGCAAAAACATTAAGAAATATCAAGCAGGAAGAGACTCTGAAGAAGATACATAATTAGTAGGTTAACAAAATCAAGACTTATTTTTGCATAAGAAGCATACTTTCTTTGATATATTCTATGATTTTTGACATTTTTTTTTAAATGTAAGAAAGCTTGTTCATTTTACTTTTTAAAAAGTTTTGTAAGCCAAATGGAAATGCAATTTGATATATAGACTCGGTTTATTTTTTTATGCTCAAATCTAAATGAATATTACTACTATTATAGATAACAAGAGAATACCAAGAATAATAATATATATATATATATATATATATATAGTGAGAGAGAGAGAGAGAGAGAGAGAGAGAGATGAATTTTCTAAAAGAAACTAAAGGTTTTTTAAAGACCATAAAGCCTTAAAAAGTCTACAAGAAATTTTAATTAAGAATTTATAAATCAAAAGAAAAACTCGAAGTTGATGAGATTTATTTTTTAATTTAATATTTAATATTTAATTTTTAATTTTTAATTTTTTTTAAAAATTAAATGTTTCTGGATTTTGAAAAATAAATAATGTTAATTTAAGAGACAAAGACTTTTATGTAAATCATTTTGAACCTATTCAACACATATTTTTTATAATCTATATAATACATAAATAAACATATTTATATATAATATATACTTTATATAGTATAATATTTAAAAAATATGTATACACATTTCAAAAATTAGATGTAATAATTGAGCTTTAGCATAAAAAATTGTATGATTTCTTATGCCGAATATATTGTTTGAAAATTTAAAAATTACAAAAAAAGGTGGATTTTTCAAGAAAGAATTACACAAAGACATGTTTTATTATTAAAAATATTGTTTGAAAAGATCTTGAATACTAAATTACAATATTAATTATAGTTGTTGATAAGTAGTATTTAAAATCTTAAAGAATATATGATATGAAAAAATGTATTCACTATTTCAATTATATCATTTATCATTAGGTATTGTAATAAAAATGCATTTAGTAAATTTTAGTATATAATGAAAAATAAATAAAATAAAAATTTACATAAAAAATAATTATATATATATATATATATATATATATATTTATAAACTATCATATCACTAATTTTACGGTTTAAATGCACCAGTAACAACTTATATGCTACCATTCTATTTTTAAAGAAATTAAGTTCAACTTATTAAATATTAAAAATATATATTATAATTTTTTATGTTTTTTTATTTTTCAATGAAATTTAGTTTTATGCATTTTATAAAGTATAAACTCCTGAATCTTCTAACTCACAGTCTGTTGCTAAACCTTTGGGTGCACATAAAAAATCGTATAGTTATTAATTAGATAAATATAAATGAGATTATTACCTAATTTTCAAGTTTGTGCCTAAACTAATAAATTGTATTTAAAACATGAGCTTTGTACTTAATCAAAATTGCAATATTTAAGTCTACTTGTTTTTAAATTGATTTTCTCTAATCATATCAATCATATTTACTTAACTCTTAATAACAATATTGGTACAGTAAGACATTTGTTTTTTAATTACTTTTTTTTTGTCTTTGTTGGTTGACATTAAAACTAGTTGAATATATCTATTTTGTTCAATGATTAAATAATATCAATTTTCTCTTACTTTTTCTAATAGCACATAAGATTTGCCAAAAGTTACACACAATTTTGTCATTTGTTTTGTTGTTTTTTCAATTTGTTCTCGTGAAAATATGGTCAATCTCAATCACAAGGTAGAACAAGCATAATCTCTAATCTCTCATATTTTAATTTTTAATGGTTTAACCACTATATAAACTTAATTTATTAAGTAAAATAAAATAGTAATGCATTCTAGCTTTATTTAGATAAATATTTTAAGTTTAATTATTAAATTAAGCAGAAATAAAAAAAATTACAAAAGATTAAGCTGATGTTTTTGAAGAACTTATCCCAAAGCTATAATAATTTTGTAATTTATTATATTTGTATTGTAATCAAAATAACTATAATAATCTAGTTTCTAAATCTTTTGGTCAGGAATTGTAGAGCTAAAAAATATTTAACACACTATAGGTGCCTTATTTTGTTGAATTTAAATTTTCACTTTATATATTGATTTATAGTAATAGCTTTAAGTAATTTAACAATTTTTTAATTTTAGTTATAAAAACTTCATAATTTATAATGTAATCTACTAAATAAAAATCGAAAACTTTTGAGAATTGTTTTTAGGTATTATTACATTTTAATATTGACAACAATAATTTTCTAATATAATATTACAAGATATGTGTTTGAACCACTATTTATGTATGTGTATATATATATATATATAATAACTTTAATATTATAACACTTTATCAAAATAATTTAACTAACTAGTAGCACAAGTCTATATAAATTATACTTTCAGAATAGTTTTTTTTTTTTTTTTTTTTTTTTTTAATGAATAATTTAATAAATCTGTCAATAAAATAAAATAAAACATATTTACTTATAGATTGGAAGACATTTTACTATAATATCTTCATTATTTTATAAACAAGTTTACTTTAAAAATTTGAATTTTTTACCTCAAGTGACATATTTTTAGGGTTCTACTAATGCCACTACAGTATCCTAAAATTTGACCAAAACCTCATGAAAATTTCAATGAAAATCTAGTCAATTTTTTCTTTTTGCTAATTCCACCACAACCATTTCACCATGGTTCTCTCCCTCCCTCCCTCCCTCTCTATCTTTCTTCCTCTCTCTCTCTCTCTCTCTATATATATATATATATATAATGAAAAAAATAACAAATTTTTTGATTGGAATAAAAAAATATAAATATTTGTCAAATAGGTGGTGGGGTGTGGTGGTAGTAACAATATCCAGTTTTTTTCATTATTTAAGTCATTCCAAAAAAAAAAACTGCATATAATATTTGTATTGTATTATTTATGTTGATAAATGCAAGCCTTGTTATCACATTTGTGAAACATTTGCAAAATCGCTTGATACCAACATAAAAAGTAGATGTGCATGTACATATAGTATTAAATAATCATTTAAAAATATTTTAGAATGAATCTAAAATCAAGTAAATCTTCTTTAGTATCAAACTTAGAAAATCTTATTAATTTTTACACTTTTAAAGAAATTTTACAAGTGTCTTTAATAACTTAGTAAATTGCATTGTAATTCAATTAGATTTTTTTTACATCTGACCTTAAAATCTTCTGAACTAGCAGAAATAGTTGACACAGTTCTGTAACAAAGTATAATTTTATAACTATATTTAAGCAGTTTAATGATGCTCTACACAAGAAAGAAGAAAATTTACCATTCTTTTATTATTATTTGTGTGAAAATTTAGAATCTGCTTTGTTTCAATACATTATTAAAAATTATATTTTTATTTTCATTTTTGTTTAGAATAAATATTTATTTAATATTATAGATCTTTTACGATCCTAAAGGTCATTTCTGTGTCATTAATTTAATTGACTAAAACAAATAAAACCCCCGCCAACATTTAGATGTTGTATAAATGTTATTAAAGAATTTACTTTTCATATTTTAATATTTTTTTACAAATAATTATGTCAATCTGAATATTTAAATTTTTTTAATAAGATCTAACAAAAATATTTACTTTAATTGTATTTTTATTTGGTAACCAATATTTTCTTATTTGCACCTTGAATTGAAGTGATTTTTATTATTTAAACTTAAATAGGTGCAAGGTGTGTTTAAAAATATTATTTCATTAAAATTCAATAAGAAGTTTTACAAAATAATAAATTATTGAAAAAAGTATAATTATGGTAAGTTCGGTTTTTTATGTGAAGTTATATATATATATATATATACACATACACACACACACACACACACACATATATATATATATATATATAGAGAGAGAGAGAGAGAGAGAGAGAGAGAGAGAGAATTCATACAAACATTTTTTCCATTTTCAATTAGCTAAGTATTCATTAAATATATATATATATATATATATATATATACATACATAATTTTGTATTTCATTAAAGCTCGAGATATTATAAATGTTTATACACTTGTAGATATTATTCGTTATCTATTGATCGATGGATTTATTTTACTTATTTAGAGTTACCAGTGGAAGCATTGGTTGCATGGACTGTAGAAGTAAGGAATGGCTAATAACAACAAGAGAGGGCAGCAAACATAGAAACGAAGGAAAAGGCGGAGGAAGGAGCAAGGAATAAATAGGAGTAGGAGGTAGGGGGGGGGGTTGTGTGTGGTGTAGAATGCATGCATGCATTTACCCCCCCCCCGATTGGGGTCTGGAGAGGGATCGGAAAAGGGTCGGGACCGGGACGGGGGTGGAACCCACCCATCCAGCCATCCATCTATCTATCTATCTGTATGTATGTATGTATATAGCCTGCCTTGGATTGGCTCTGCTAGAGTTGGCTTTACTTGGCCTTGCCCTCACACCCACCCAGTGTGTGAGTAAGTGTGTGTGAGTCCGTCCATCGCAGACAAGGGAGGGAGGGAGCGAGAGACAGAGAGAGATCACAGGAGAGAAGGCTCTTTGGCCGTGCTCGGAGGGATCCCTCCCTCTGGGGCCGTCGGATGCCAACCCATCCCCGCCGTCGCCCGCATCCAGCTGCACAGGACAAGAAGAATTCCCACTGGCGTCCTGAGCGGAGTATGTGGTGTGGCCTATGGATCACAGGGTCGGGCCGGGTTGGGCGGGGCCGGGCCAGGGGAAGGGGTTGAGAAAGAGAGAGAGGCCAGGGTGCTGGAGCCGGGTTGGCCTTGGGAACCGGGAACTGGGAAGAGAAGAGGAAGAAAGAGTGAGAGAGAGAAAAGATGGGGGGTCCCCCATCCTCCTCCTCCCAGCCTAGCCCAGCCTTCCCCTTCTCCCCAGCCTCTCTCTCGCTCCTGGCTCCTCTCCTCCTCTCTCTCCTGTTTGTGCTGCTTTGTGTGCTTATGCAGTGCAGTGTCTTCTTCCTCCTCTCCCCCCTTTGGTGCGATACTGGAAGCACCACCCAGTGGCATCGCACGAAGATAGGTTTTCATGGTGCGTCCCCCCCTGGTCACGGGGCTCGACGCTGCCGACGCGCACCAGGTCTGACAGGTTGTGCACTGTTAGTCGTTGCGCTGGGGTTCGATTGTGCCTTTGTGTCCCACGCGCAGGGTGAGAAGGTGGAATTGGCGTAGGTTTGACGATTACGAGGAGAGTGTGGTTGGCAGGGCGGATTCCTCGCGTGTTTTTTTTTTTTTTTTTTTTTTTTTTCGTGTGTGTTTGTGAAGGCGTTCTGGTGGTGTAGGGCATGTGCAAGAAGCTAGGGTGGAGGGAGGTCGAGGATGAGGAAGCCGCGACCCTGAAGCAAGTGCGACGTGTTGCCTGTGTTGTTAGGCATGGCTCTGTTGCAAATGAGACGGCGAGGGATGAGGCTGTAAATGAGTCCTGTGGACGTGTGATTCGCGGGTGGCCGGTGCATGGGGTCCCTTTGGACGAGCGTGATGAGAGAAGGGTTATGCAGTTTGATAGGCTGTGATGGGGTGAGCGTTGTTGCGGGATCAGGAAGTGGTATCGTTCCTCGATGGGGGTGCCTGGAGAGGTATTAAGAGGGAGTTGGGAAGGTGTAATTGAGGAATGGTTTTGTTCGGGATGTGAGAGTGAACGTGGGCATGCTTGCCGCTAGTTATGTACATAGAGTGATTGAGTGAACGTTAAGATCAAATTTTTGAAGGAGGCAGCCGAGCGGCGTAATTGTTTTTAATATTATTTTTGTAGCTAGGTAGAGAGGGCTAGAGCAGGAGCGGCTTTTCGCTCTTGTTCGGATGACAAGGTTGCAGGTTCTCAAGCTGTACAACCCCGTCACAGGTTCTGAAACTACGCACATCTAGTTTAGTCACAGGTAAACTCTCGCTATGTATAGCTTATCTTACAGATCTTCTCAGATTCTTCAAGTGCAATACAGATGCTCTGTATGTCATATTCTGTATGTATGATCAGTTTACTACTTTAAAGTTACAGAAAGCTTACATCAATATCATCTGCTCTTGATGCAGCAGCTCTGGTCTGTGTCAGAGCTGTGATGATGGGATGTTGCATGTTGGTCTTTAGGCATAAAGTAAGTGTTTAATTACTTACTGTTTGGGACTTTACAAGGTGCAGGTTGGAAGAGGAACAGAAGTATTGGGTGACTTCATTGCGGCTGCTGAAACTCAAGCAGAGGTGAGAGATGGTGATGATGAGCAGAGACTGCAACGAAAGATAATAATCAAAGCATGTAATGATGAATGATACTAATCGAAGCAGGTCATTAGCATCTCCTTACAGACATTCCATGTCCAATGGGAGCAGGAATGGAGGACCGGAATTGGATGCCCAGAGTTTGGACATTACACTGGCAGGTCTGAGTGCACAATCCGGCAGCGCTACTTCTGATCGGAGATGCTCCCATTTACCGTCCCAGACGTGTGGAGGTCATGCATCCGTGGATACACAATTTGACGTTGGCCCAGGAAATTCAGCTGCCTGCGTAGGTATGAGTCAAGATGGTCCTAGTCTTAGGCTTCTCAACGGTGCTGCAAATCGGGACAGTGCAGGGAAAGCTGTAAAGCTATTCGGCTTTGATATTAAGCATCCATCACCTGCAGAGATGAACGGTGGAGAGAGTAGCTTAAGTGCGGCGCAGAACACCGTTGAGAACCCGTCTTTGAGAGATCAGGTTCCATGTGAGGGGGACGAGTCACAGTCGCCTGCCTCTGGGTCCGTCGCATGTGATACCGACGCTGCCCCAGACTCCGTCGCGAATGATGCAGCTCAGGAGCAATGTGATGACAATGCTGGTGAATGTGGCGGTGGTAGCTCTACACACGTTTCCACGGAACAAACTAACGACTGTTCAGATTCGACGGCTCCTTTATGGGAGAATCGGAAGTACGAGTGCCAATTTTGTGGGAGGGAATTTGCTAGCTCTCAGGCCCTGGGTGGGCATCAGAATGCTCACAAGAGAGAGCGCCAAGAGGCCAAGCGTGCCCAGTTTCATGCGAACAGAATAGCTGCAGCTAACTCGGATAGAAGCTCTGGATGGGGTGGAAGGGGAGGCTATGGCATTCGGCAGTCTCACACAGGGCAGCAGTTCGTTACACCCCATGTGTCCCGGTTAGTAGCTCCCCATTCGTCACAGCTTCCTAGAAGTCATGGCTCTCCTGGCCCGCAGTTGATGCCACTGCATGTCGCTGCCGCCAGCATGAGTAGCTACGAGGACATGACTCCAATGGCGCACGGCATGTCCTTGATGAATGTCGGTGTTCCAAATGGCACGTTCCCTCATCCAATGACGCATGGAATGCAGTGTCCACCGTCTCCATATGTCTTTTACTATGGTCCGCTTGCAATGAACTTTCCTGGGTCTAGACCAACCTTTCCATCCATGTACGGGGATTACATGCGATACACGGAATACCCCAACATGTTCGCAGTGCCGTCGCAAGGGATGCACTTACCTCAGCCATGGTCTCATTCTCAATCACAGCCGGGTAGTCTGCCATCGGCAAGGTTTCCGTTGAAAGGGTCTGACGGTGTGAGAACGGAGAACGTAATCCGCCCCAGGCCGCTAGCCCATGCCCCGGGAACCTTACAGACGCAGCAACAGCGACCACTTAGTGGAGGTGGAGCATCCAACAATGTACTAGATTTGCAACTGGGTTTGGGAAACTCTCCTGCAGGGTGAGGTTCTGTTTATAGTTTTAGAAGGGATTTGTGCACAGATTTGTGATTTACTGTTCATGAGGCGAATATTCACTGGTTATCCAATTCGAAGAAACCATATCTGATCTGAGAGTGCCATAGTGTGCCCCAGGCCTACTTTGGAAGTGGTCGAGCTCGTTCCTGTTGGATCTTGCCCTGCTCTCGTTGCCTTTGTGCGCACCTTTTCTGCTCTGAGACTCTCAGTATTCGTTTTCGATCTCTCGTAGAGGTTACTCATTCACCGACCTGGTTATGGGAATCAGATTTTAGTTCTCAAGAGTGAGCTACGTGGGGTGGGAAGCTTTCCTCCTTTGGAAGCTGGATTGTGATAGTCTTTGGCCTTGATATGAAGTGACCAGTCATTTGGGTATCGGTTGGAGAAGTGACTCTTACTCGAAGGTTCTGCAAGTTGTGGTTGAGCACATGACTCAATAGATATTGTCTATGCTGCTTTGGAGCTCAGGTCGCATCCACCGTGAAGCAACAATGAAGGAGTTTCTAGATCAGCCGAGTCTGGGGATCGTTGCCTGGAAGCAAGTATGTTCCCCATTATTCAGCGAAACGCAACACGTGGATAGGTAGTGTATGAAAAGCCTCCAACCTTGGTGTAGAACCTCCCAGTGGTTTGTTTCTTAAGTTTTTATGTAAAGGTTGTGTAGCTGGACGCTTAGCAGATTATGTGTACAACAGTTGGTCTGACTTCAATGATCAAGGAGTAATTGGATTATTTCTTGATTTTGAATTAGCAGCATTTGATGACTTCCTTGTCCTGGCCCTGTTGAGGGGTCCGACAATCGCGTGAGTCTTCAGAGTGAGTCTGCACATTACAACAGAGGCCTCTGATTCAATAGTAAACCGTATTTTGTCAATGCCTGTAGTTCGTGGTCCAAGGTCTTAACCTCTACGTTTGAGACTTTAATATTCCAAGAATCGTACTGTTCAAAATTATCAAAATAAGGTTGTAGTATACAAGGTGTATACACGGCATCATGAAATTTGAAGCAATAGAGAGTTGTGGTCGAAGAGAAAACGAAATTCATCGCTACTATTACCGTTGATCCAGTGTTTAAATTGGGTGCTTAAAAGTTGCTAACTTTATGGATTCCTGAAGATCATCATGTTGTGTCACAAATGCTTTTATTTTTGTATTTGTTTAAGACATGCAAAATTATCATGTTTATTTATTCCCTGTAAAATGGTTGCTGCAGTGTTAGAAAGTGTGTATAATTATAATTATGTTTATATATATATATATATATATATATATGAATAGATTTAATATGAAAATAGCAAACATTGATCTCAGGTGAATATTAATTCAAACGAACCTACTTGTTTTAGAATATCTATGAATTGCAGTGGAAAAATTATTTATGTTACTTTTGAGGTATCGAATATGCTTGATTTTCATGCTAAAATGAAAATAAAACCAATAACGATTGTTGGTGTTTGACTTTGACCAATTGAAATGTCAAATTTATGGAGTTTAGCTTCCAAACTATGCAAACTTTTGTATACTATTTGTCATTAAAGGCACAAAGATATGTAATAGAATGAAAATATCAATCATCAAGTATTGTTATAATTCAAAATATGTTTTTAAATAATAATATTAAGCTCTTCTATTAGCATTGATTATTAGTGTTAACAACTATTTTGCACTTATTTCATAAATTGGTTTATTAAAATTATCTTTTTCAACAAATATATAAATGACATCAAATAATTTTTATATTTTGTATAAAATTATTATACAAACAATTTTTCTCAAAGACAAAAGTTTAATTGCATAGGTTAAGTTGTGGACAAAATTAATAAACAAACAAGAAAGTAAAGAAATATAAATTATGAATTATAAATACACATATAAAAAATATAAAAAATAATAAAAATGAAGAGAGTACTTTAAAATTTGTCTTATATAGGATGGTTGATTAATTAGTGAAAATTAGAATAAATAATTATATACATACATACATACATACATACATACATATATATATATATATACACACACACATACACACATTTATATGAGTTTTTCATTTTTGGATGAATATTAAAAATCGAATGAAAAGAAAGCACCAAAATAATATAGTAAATGCTATGGTAATCTCACAACAATTCATGGTTTGTTTATTTTTAATTTTTGAAAATTTTCATACAAGGTTTTATTGTTTTAGTTCCTTACACATTTGAATGATCTGAGCACAAAAATCCATAAACAATCTATGTCTTGCTTAAAATTTGAACAGAATTATTCCTTTTCAAAATGCCAATTTATTTTTCTTTAAAAAATAGATTCTAAAATGAGCACACTGTAATGGAAATTATTATGACTACTTAATTACAATATATTTTATAACTTCTTATATGACTACTTTAAAAAATTTAAAACTTTATTATATATTTGATTCAATTTATTTTGTTGTAATATTTATCTAGGTACAAACATATAAAACTTAAATTATTTCATATCAATAAAAAAAAAATTGCATTTAAAATAAAAAATATTATCAAAGAATTGCATATTTTTTATGCATAAAATTAGACAAAATTATACTTTGTCTAATTTACTAAATTGACCCACTTCTCTATGGAGAATAAGGGAGGTCAAGATGAGGGCCATGATAGCAATAATGGTTTCTAGAGATGATCCATTTTTCTAATGATGATTACAATAGAGTCGGTTGATTTAGTGAATAGGTGGGTCATTTTAACATTTATCTATATAAAATATTTTGGTGATATTAATAACCTGAAAATAACTTTATGTGAGAAGAAAAGCAGGTAATCAATGATGTCAACGAGTTTTTCTCTAAAACTTCACTTGTAGGTAATCAAAATTATATTGGTATTAAAAACAACATTAAGTTAAACAATGCATATTTGCTAAGTTAAGCTTGTTTCATAAAATATAATAAGATATAATAAAAAAAAACATGAACCTAATGTGCAATATATTGAATGGTTAAAAACAATTATTATCATTAGTCTACATCATAACAACAATAATTAAAAAATAAAATAATAAGATTTTAATATTACAAACCTCTTGGAATATCAGTGACAGAGCCATTTTGTTGTGGTTTGTTTTATTTCTGAATAAATAACCTGCAAATGTGGCATTAGGATATGATTCATCAAAATTTGGATATGATTCGTCAAATTTTGGATGTAGATTTCATCAAACATGGGTTCATTAGTTTATTTCAAGAGACCACATAAAAGAACCGAAAATAACTTATAGCCAACAACACATTTGTGTGTTGTTATTACTAATATTATTATCGTTATTATTTGGTATGGAAAAATATATACAGATTTATGTAATTAAAAAACACGATTGAACATGATTCATTGTGAAAATTTAGTGTGAGATCAAATCAACTAAAAATTAGCAAACAAATATGTAAGATGATTATTTATCATTGATTGCATGTTTTGATGCAAATTAAGCTTTGATAGAAATTAGTGGTGATTCATAAGAGGTCATGTATCTATGATTTAATATATATATATATATATATATATCCATTCTGTAGAATAGCAACAATAATTGTTTAGCTAGAGCACTTGATAATGCATGTAGGAAAATCAACTTGACTGCATAGATAAATAAATTTCAACTTACTGAAATTCTTTGCAAGTAAGAAGATTAGCCGCACAAGTTATGTGTGCCTTTTATTTTTTAGCTGAAAAGCGTATTTATTTACTGTGTAAAATGCAAAACCCATTCAATTAGACAAATAAAATAAATAAGATAAAAAAAAGTTTGTTGAATGAGATCAGATCAAAATAATACATTTAAAATCAAATTTAATGCACGTATTTTCTGTTTGACTTATATAAATAAATATATATATATATATATATATATATGTTATCTATGGCGTAGCTTGAAAATATCTTTAAAAATCATACATAGAATAATAATAAGAGAAATATGCTTTTATTTTATACATAAATAGTATATTTTTAAATTAGTATAAAATAAAGATTTTCTTTCATCTATCATCAACATTAGCAAGTACTCATGTCATAGTGCACAAAAATTATTCCTTATAATTCCAATTCATCTATCACCTTGAAGAAATATCCTCTAGATGCCATGTAAACTAGTTGATAAATGTTAATGTAGAAAAATAGATATATATCAAAAATGGAAAGTTCATACATTACAACTTTGAATAATCACGACTTTTCAATGCATTCATGTGGCTCAAAATAACAAGAGTAGATGTAGGTGAATAATTCGTAAGTCTATGCTACATCTATCTATTAATGATATATTCTCTACCTACTTTTTAATATTAAGTGGGTTCCCATAAAATAAAATAATAATGAGGGTTAATTTTCAAGTGCATGCATGGACTAATTTATGTAAAAAAGGATGCCTTCCAAAGTTGGACGGATGAAGAAAGAGCGGACACATCCTTCCAGAATAAGTATTATTCATTCACAAGAATATCATCGATATTCATCCATCCATACACTCCGTCATGTCAATTGTCGGGGGGATGTCCCAGGCGGAAGGAAGTAACCCTAATTAACTGAGCGAGAGAGAGGGGGGGGGTTCTGTCTGCAGAGACACCGCCCCTTTTGTGGGAGCTCTAACGGTGGAGCTGGCTGTGCGTGTGCCTGCCTGCCTGCCGGGACTGCTTTCCTACTCGCTGCCCCCCTCGCCGCATCTTCATTCGCCTTTCAACGCCCCTTTCGGTTTGAAACCTGGCCTGTGCTTGTCGGAAGCGCCTGCATCATCGCCAATCCCCTGCGAAACCCCCAGGGTGGCTTCTCCAATCTGCGTGCCGCCCTGCGCTGCGTTGGCTTCGGCTTTGGCCTCTATCTCTATTTCTTTTTCGTCTTCAGCAATCCGATGCTGTTGTCGTTCGACATCGTCGTCATCATCACCATCATCGTCATCCAATGGTGATGCGGTGCACTGACTGGTGGGCGCAGAGGAGATGGAGAGGGGCGAGGAGGAGGGGGAGGCGGAACAGGGGCAGGGCGGAGAGTGTTGTTGTTGTTGCTATTGGCCATGAGTCAGCAAGACGCATTCTGAAGGCGATGGTGGTACTTGTCCTCTCCCCTCGGTGCCTCCTTTCCCTCCCTGCTTTTTCTCGTCCACACTTCTCCGCCACTCGTTGCGGGCGACACTTCTGCACCACTCATTTTGTTCGGACAAGGAGAGGGGCGGGTGACGAGGTCAGTAATGCTGGTGCGCATAATTGGCACAGGCGCCGCTGGGTCCCCTCCCCCCACCCCTTGCGGACACGCGGTGGACGTAGCTGCTCCCCCGCCCGCCTGCGATGGCGACGAACGAATGGACGAACGAAGAACTAGCGAGTGAACGAGAAATAGACAGGGCCCGACTGCCCGAGAGAGCCTCGTTGTTGCGTGGCACTCACTGCCTGTGTTTCTGCATTCCCACCGCCACTATCTTTCCAACTGGAAAGAAATACAAGAAGAAGAACAGGGTGACATAGAGTAAATATGATAGAAAAAAAAGAAATAAAAAAGGAAGAAGTATACGCACTCGCTCCCTGTGGTTCCTTCCTTCCCTTGGTGCTGTAAGTATGGACTCCCTCCCTGGGAGTTGCACGATATTACTGAAGCTCTTTCCACTTATTTTTTCGTTTTGTGCAAAAAATAAAAAAAAAATGTATCTACGTGGCTGTGTTCATATGTGTTTTAACTTAAATTTGGGATTTTATTCTATTTAATATGATTTTATAATCAACAATCAAGATTTCTACTGTTGGGATGAATGGATTCAACTCATAGAATTAGTTTGTTTTATCAAAATAATAACAGCTATTTCTTTCTGATAGTTCTGCAATATTGAGGGACTTGTAGCAAAGGCCTTCCAAACTCTTCTGGCAAATTTACACCCTCGCAAGCAGTGTTCAGCGGCTTCTTTTACCTCGCGATTACAGATTAGGCAAATGTCTGGGTTGTCCATTTGTACGAACCAGCCTCTTGTGGGCAGTCCGCTTGAGTTGACTAGCCATAAAAATGTCTGTTGTTGGCCTTTTTAGATGGAGCTGTTTGTTTCC